CTTTAAACCCTTGAAAATCAACATAAAAAATATTGTACTTAGTTTTAACTATTGCATGCTATAGAATAGAAGTAGAAGTAGAAAATAAACCAACCATGTGTGGAAGTGAATGAGACCCCACTGGTCTCCAGAATACCCACCGTGCGAAGAACCGCTGGCACCTATCCAAGAAGTCTTGGGCATCCTCTGACTCAACCCCACTGAATGATAGAGTCTGGAGCCTCCCAAATCTTTCTAGTCTCCTCTACTTATCATCAACCATAACGGGACCCACCTGGGCCTGAGCAACTACAACCAGCTGGGCTGGTAGTACCCTCGTTGTCTGAAGTCCATGCATCACCTGCTCTGGAGTACGGATGGAGGGAGTTTGAGTACCTCCCCCAGCCTGAGAAGTGGCTGGCGCAGACTGAACAGAAACCGCCAGAGCAAGGCTGGTGACATAGTCAAAATCTGAGCCAAAGCCTCCTGAAGGCGTGGAATCATAGTGGGCACAATTGGTGCCTGAGCTGGCCCCACTAGCTCAACTATATCTAGTACCTGCTCCTGAGCTAGAGCAACTGGTGGATCTGCTGGCGATACTCTAGCTGATGTACGAGCTGCACCTCGACCCCTACTGCGACCACTACCGCGGCCTCAGCCTCTCGTGGTCCTAGCTGGTGGAATTGGTGGCTGTCCGTCCTGTCGGGTAGCAGTGTCCTCACCATCTGTGAGAGAATAGAATAACAGAAGTTTAGTTCTTGGAATCAACAAATCCGCACAATAAGGATACAAGAATGTGAAGTTTTCCTAATGGTTTGGTGGCCTCTTAAAGATAAGTACAGACATCTCCGTACCGATCCACAAGACTCTACTAAACCTGCTCATGATTCGTGAAACCTATGTAACCTAGGCTCTGATACCAACTTGTCACGATCCGAAACCTAACCTGTCGTGATGGTGCCTAACATGGTACTAGGCAAGCCGACGACTCTGACATTACCAACACTTTTAAATGAGAAATGTACTAAAACAGGTTTAATAATTAAAACTCTCATAAACCGGATAAAAGATCACAATTCAATACGGTAGTTCCCAAAACCAGGGTGTCATGAGTACATGAGCATCTATACAACACAAGTCTGAAATACTGTCCAAGAAAAACTGAAACTAAATAAATAAAGCTCGAGGATAGGGGAGGAGAGTAAAGGTCCGCGGACGCCAGGGCAGTTGCCTCGAAATCTCCGAATGACTAAAAAGCTCTAATAATCAGCACCCGTCATGTCCGAAAACACCTGGATATGCATACGAAATGCAGGGTGTAGCGTGAGTACAACCAACTCAGTAAGAACAAGTCTAACTATGAGGCTGAAAGTAGTGACGAGCTTTACAAATACAATTCAATTACAGAATTTTAGTACAGAAATATAGGCATGCTTTCAAGTTTAACAGTTAAGCCCAAACAAGATATGGTACACCTCGGTATCTATATGACAGTTATATATGCCAAATGAAGTACAAACAATAATGAAATCATATGCATACTCTCAGTCTATCAATCACTCAGTCCTCCCATTCACTCCATCCTCCCAGTCACTCATTCCTCACAATCACTCCATCCTCACAGCCACTCAATCCTCCCAGTCGCTCGGCACTCGCGCTCGCACTCTGTAGGCACCTTCGCTCACTGTGGATTCGGAAGGGGCGATTCTAGCCCAAGCGCTATAATAAGCCAATCATGGCATGAATCAAATAAACATGTTTCTGCGTGAAGCCCGATCCCATAAATATCCTCACAATCAATCCCTCGGCCTCACTCAGTCATCAGTCTCTCCAGTCTCTCGGGCTCTCAAAAATCATGATAATCAGCCCAAACAATGATGATATAATGTACCAATAAAGGACAATAGAGATTGAGATATTGTATGCAAATAATAGCTGTGACTCAGTACAAAATGGCAATTTAGCAAATAATTAAACATGTAACACGGCCTCTGTGGGTCCCCACAGTACCATCACATAGCCTAAGCATGATTGCTAACATGACAACATCTCAATTTCTCTAACACATAGGGGAAATACAGGTAACGACAAGATTAATCAACTATACAGTTCCATGGAATCGACCAAGTCACAATTCTTAGGGTGCACGCCCACACGCTCGTCACCTAGCATGTGCGTTACCTCAACACTAATCACATAACACGTAATTCGAGGTTTCATACCCTGAGAACAAAGTTTAGAAGTGTTACTTACCTCAAACCGTGTAAATCCCTACTCCAACACGCCTTTGCCTCGCGAATCGGCTTCCGAATGCCTAGAATCTAGCCACAAACTTCAATACAATCAACACGAGCTAAAGGAATCAATTCCATAAGAAAATACTATGTTCTTAATCAAAAGTCAAAAAGTCAACTCAAGGGCGACTCCCGGGACCATGTTTCGAAATCCAATAAAAGTCACAAAATCCGGAAGCACATTCAACCACGAGTCCAACCATACCAAAATTACCAAAATCCGATACCAAATTGCCACTCAAATCCCCAAATTTAACTCTCAAACTCCTAAAATTACACCTAAAAAACACACAAACTAGGTGGGAAATTTATGGGGAAACAAAATTATTGAATAAAAATGACCAAAAGTGACTTACCTTAAGAAACCCATCGAAAATCCTCTCAAATTGCTTTAGCCCGAGCTTGAAATGTCCAAAAATGATAAAAATCGCGAACTCTCGAATTAATATTCACTGCCAATGGTTCCGCTTCTGTGGCACCGCTTTTGCGGTAAGAAATCCGCACCTGCGGACTTACACTCAACCCCTGACCTACCGCTTCTGCGGCCAAAGACTCGCAACTACGAGACCACACTTGCGGCCCAGCGTCCGCTTCTGCGCGCCTACAACCAAGTTCCAAATTCCGCACCTACGACCACTATTTTGCTTCTATGGACTTGCAGGTGCGCTCCTCCCTCCGCACTTGCGATACTCCCAAAGCCAGACCAACCTCACTTTTGTGCCAGTCCAGCCGCACCTACGGCATCGCACCTGCGACCAATACCCTCGTAGGTACGAACACACCAGAAGGCTCCTAGCTTCAGCAATCCTTCAATTCCAAATTTTGATCCGTTAACCATCCGAACTCTATCCGAGACCCCGGGACCTCAACTAAATATACCAACAAGTTCCAAAACACAATACGAACTTAGTCGAGCCTTCAAATCACATCAAACAACGTTAAAACCATGAATCGCACATCGATTCAAGCCTAATGAACTATTGAACTTCTAACTTCTACATTCGATGCCGAAACCTATCAAATCACGTCCGATTGACCTCAAATTTTGCACACAAGTCACAGATGACACAATGCACCTACTCTAACTCCCGGAACCCCAATCCTAGCCCAGTAACCACAAAGTCAACTCTCGGTCAAACTTCTAAACTTCCAACTTTCGCCATTTCAAGCCTAATTTCACTACAGACCTCCAAATTACTATCCGGACACGCTCCTAAGTCCAAAATCAACCAACGGAGCCAACGGAACCATCAAAACTCAATTCCAAAGCCATTTACATACAAGTCAACATCCGGTTAATCTTTTCAACTTAAGCTTCCAACCTTGAGACTAAGTGTCCCACTCATTCCGAAACCTCTCCGGAACCGAACCAACTACCTCGGCAAGTCACATAGCAACTACTAAGCATAAAATGAGTAATAAATGGAGGAACGAGGCTACAACTGGTCGGATCGTTACCCAAATAACCCATTTACCACCCCTAGGCATAACCAAGCGGTCAAGTGTCTAGAAACTAGAAAGCATTGCCTTATTAGAGAGATGATTCGCATGCTCGCTAAAGGGCACATTCGTTTTGACCATTTTCACAAGTTGAGACTATTGTACTTTTCTTCTCCTTTTATCACTTCTTGCAATTTGCGCATTTCTATTTGTTCAAAGCGGTCGATGTTTTCACCTCCTTTCTTTTCTTGCAAGCTCCTCTACTCTTCTTTTAGTGAAAGAAGCACCATCAGAAAGACACTACCTTTAGCAAAAGGCGAGAAGGTTTAGACTTCTTTTTCTTTTCAACGGTCTTTAAGCGGAAGACTTTTTTTTTTTTTTTACCATACTCACCAGAAGTTCAAACAAAATTTTAGTCATACTGACATTTACATCAAATGATGTTAATTTATTATGGTCAAGTGAATTAATGAGGTGTGAATACGTTAAGCAAAATTAGTTTATGTATAAACACATATCCTGCATCCTTTTTATATAAGTTTAAGCATCCAATATTTTTACCCCATAAATTCGCCTAGCTTTTCCTTGCAAGACCTGTTTATCCAATTTAAAACCATATATTAACAAGCTAAAAATGATCGGCAGTTAATTATTAGTGCAACATAAAAGTATATGTAGCGCGATTGCATCGATGTTGACGGAGGTAACCTTATAATTAGTGGGTGACATTCTATTAGTAAGAATTTACATAGGTATGTCGGGTACTTCCTAAGCACAGTTAGCTGGTTGCCACTTAGAGTTTTGGCAATTAAGGTCACTGTCAGAAGACAAAAGCATAGAAGAATAAAGAAGAAAAAAGCAGAGGACAACATAATGAAGACACGAGCCTAGGGAGCCTTAATTATTATTTTCTCATAAAGTAGTTTTAGCTTTTTAACACCAACCTTTATTAAAGTCCTCCATTATATATATTTTTTAAGTTAGAGAAGCCAAAACAGTACTCCCTCCGGTCCAAAATAAGTGATTTTTTGGTCTTTTTCTTGTGGTCCAAAATAAGTGATTTTTCCATATTTCAAGAATGAATTAATTATTTTTTTCCTACATTGTCCTTGGAGTAAATTGTGTAGGAATATGTGTTAGGAGTGTTTATGTGAGATAGTAAAGGTTAATATGGTCAATTCCATTGCTAATTAATGTTAAAAGATGGATTTCTTAATCTGTGTGAAAACATTCAAAAATTATTTATTTTGGACCGGAGAGTAGCGCAGTAAGAGTAGGACATCAAAATACTTCCAAAAGAAAACACATATACCAGCAATAGAGTAGAGACTAAACAAAGCTTCTTAGTGGTCATCATAAGACAATGATGGATATTTATCTTCTTGGGCTGGCCAACATTCTATCTGTTTTTGGGCCACTTTGTACTACTCGTTAAAAAAACCCAAGAAATACTTCAAACAACTCTATACAAAGTTCTTTTAGAATATAGACAATGAAACTAGTATTCAAAATATGAAATTACTAGCTAGTCCTATAGGTTCTGAATCTTTGTTTGTTTGCAAGCAGCTTTAAGCTCTTTCAGGATCAAGAAGCACAAGTTGGCCGCAGGCACATCGAAAAGAATCCCCTAACGCCTTTCTGTAAAGAGTTGTGCAAAAAGAAATTAATAAAAAGTTGAGCATAAGAAAGTCTAAGTATCGTTTGGTACGCGGGATAAGGTAGGATAAGTTGTGGGATTAAATTTATTTTGTGTTTGGTTGGCAGAATAAATTTATCATGGGATAAATTTATACCGCGAACCCATCACAGTATAATTTAATCCCAAAGCTTAATCCTGGATATCCCACCTTATCCTACCTTATCACATCAAACTTGAATTATTTTACCCCACCTCCCAAGTGGGATAAAATAATCCAGGGATTATAATATCGGGATATAATAGTCCGCATACGAAACGACCCCTAGAGGTATCACATATACAACTACTAGATAATGTAATACAATGTGATAGTATAGTCTTAGATAATGCATTTAGGTTGAACTTTTGTTTTTTCTTTATAAAAAAACTACTAGTATCTCCTTTGGATTTAGCACGTACTGTAACCAGATTGTAAATACGCAACAAAAATTTGCGTATAACAAGAATTTTATTTACCGCTATATTTCGTACACTATTCATTACTTAATAAAAGTAAGGCGATCATTTTCACTTTGTAGGTCAAGTACATAGGACATGTCCCTCTAATTATGGGATGAGGATGGGGAAAAAGTGATTAAAAAGCAAGGATAAAACAAAATAAAGATTAGGAGAAAAATAGCGTACCCTTTTAGGCTTAGGGTAGAGCAATTCAGGGGAAATCTTGTAAAGATCTTCATCTACTGCCCTTTTAGGTGGTGGTGGTGGAGGAGATGGAGTTGCTGCTTTTTTCACATCATATTCATAATCGCGTACCACCCACGCGTCCTTCTTTCCTCCAACTTCATTACTAGTACTTGCTTTTCTCTGTAGAAATACAATCATGCTTAATATGAACCCATTAATTAACACATCCCACTGGTCATTAAATGCTTCTATTAAACTGAATAAATTTAGGGCAAAAAGGTGGTGCTTAATTAAATTCAGAGCGTGATATATCCTTAAAAGACGAGGAACTTCATCACTAATGGAGAGTATTTCAGAAGACATGCGTGTAAAGCAGCACAACCAAAAACATTTAATGCTTTCACATGTTCTGCCTCGTTTTCAACTCTCTGTTTAACTACACACCAATAGAGGCTAACAGAAATACTCCCTCTGTCCCAATTTACTTAAATATTTTGACTTATACTAATACTTTTGCGTAATTTTAAATACACCCTCCGTTTTATTCCGTTCCAATTTATGTGAACCTATTTGACTGGATACGGAGTTTAAGAAAAAAATAAAGACTTTTAAAATTTGTGGTCCTAAATAAGATACAAATAGACCCAGAGTATTTGTGTGGTTATAGAAACTTCTCATTAAGGGTAGAATTGTAAGTTTAAGCTAAATTGATACCAAATTTAGAAAGGAATCATTCTTTTTGGAATGGACCAAAAAGGAAATAGGTTCCATAGAAATTTAAAAATTTAAAATTTTTAAAAATTCTATTTTATTTTAAAAATTCTATAGAAATTTAAATCTCGAAAAAGTGAAAATTGTAAGGTGAATTGGGAGAGGTAGTACTAGTAATAATTACCTTACGACGAGGAACGACGATCATGGCTGGAGTGACAATGTCGTTCTGGTAGAGATCACCCGCTACGTATAAATCACGATCGTTAGAGTAGCTGTAACGAAACAAATCAGCTTGTCTAGCTGATTCAAAGCATTCCGTGAAAGGAACTGGGAAATCATCGTTACAATCCCAGCTACCAAATGCTGGAATGTGGCTCCTATTCATGAAGTAATAATTGCTCTCCTATAACAAAAGAAAAAATCCACAAAATACAAACAAAATCAGCACCTGAACTTTACCACAAAAAAAAAAAAAAAGTTAGCGGAGATCAGTGCTTACATCCATTTTTTGGAGGGGAGTATCAGGAAATAAGCCTTTTAGATTGACCTCACAATCCACTACTGAGAGTTCAAACTTACAATATTTTTGTTTGTTAACTAGGACGATGAATTTATAGAACAGAGAGGGGTCTATTAAAGAGGCCTGAAATGGGTTTGCTTTTTGTAATGAGTCAATTGTTGATGTTGGGTTTAACTTTAACGATAAAGGAAGAGAGAGGTATATAGGGCAGTGGGGTAGATTCAAATAGATACTATATTACTTACTCGAATGGGAGCTCCGTATATTTGTTGTCACGTAACCAGGAGGTCGCGGGTTCAAACCGTAAAAACAGACTCTTGCAAAAATACAAGGAAAGTGACGTTTTTTTCTTTTTTTTTTTTGGTCTAAAATAAGTGTCATTTCTACATTATTAAGAATGAATTAATTTTAGTTTTTCAAATTTGTCCTTATTTACATATTCCAATGTATCAAGTTAACAATATGTAAATTTTAATTAAGGATAATTTAGTCAAAATACATATTTTTTAGGAATTAGTAATATCTTAAGGGGCGTGTCAAAAGCAAAAAAATCACTTACTCCCTCTGTTCACTTTTACTTGGCAGGTATACTAAAAATAGATTCTTATTTTTACTTGTCACTTTACGCATAACAAGAGAAGATGAATTTTTTTTCCCTGTTATACCCACGGTATTTATTGCTCATTCAAATCATTTTCTCAAATCCAATAAAATATGCACAATTAATATGAGTATCTTTATAAATTATGCATTTTATTTCATAAAAAGTCAAAACGTGCCATGTAAAAGTGAATTGAGGGAGGATTATGAATCGGAAGGAATATTATGAAGTTGTTAAAAACAGTACATAGTTAATGCATAGAAGAAAAAAGAGAAAGGCAAAAGCCCAGATATCCAAAAACCATGAGAAATTGACAAGAGGGACAGAGAGGTAAGGGCAAATAGAAGGGGCCTGAGATGAGATGAATAGTTTTATTTACATTTAAGATGGTGTAGTGTGTGTATATTCCAAGATATACACAGGGATAATAAATTAAAGTTGTTCTTTTACTGAGAATTCTGATTCCACCCATCTCTAAGCAAAGGTCAAAAAGTAGCAAATGCCACACACCCCGTATTAAATAAAAGTTCTAAAAGTTGAAGTAGACTTTTTAACCCTACACGCCTCATGCTGGAATACTTGGTGCTCCGTGCCCTATTTTTGCTAACTCACTCTGGAAGATAATTTTTTTTTAAAAAAAAAAGAAGAGGAAAAATGATCCGTGAAACGACAACCGATAATTAATAAATAAGCAAAACCAAAAATAATAATATAATTTTCACCAAATAAAGGTGAAAACTACCTTATTCACTGCATGTTAAGAGTTATGTCTTCTAGAGAATAGTTAAGATAAGATGATTATGATCTTTCCTTCTATGGAGCCAAATGTGAGAAGAAATAGACCTTCATGATATTTTATAATATTAAAATTAAAAAATATTATTTTTAGATCTTTTACGTGTAAAGCCTTATTCACTTATCACACACTTTTCTCTTTTTATTCTGCTTTTGCTAATGTATAGGGTCAAATTTGACCGTCAATGTCTCTACGCCAATGGGTACGCCCAATGAGTGTACGTCAACTAACGTAAGGGTACGACTTGGACGTGGGGACAAAAGCGACACCGTTTAAGACTCAGTGTCTTCATTAGGAAAACATTACCTATCTTGTATCTTTTTTATTATTTCGAGGAAGGTCTCCTACTATATAAGGGAGACCTTCACATTGTAAAAGGGGGCTGATTCTGGAATAATACAACTCTCTAATTTTCTCCTGCTCTCTCTCTATCTCTATCTCTAACGAATACTTTCCCTTGAGTTCATATTATCACTTTACACTATTAGATCTACAACAACAACTTCATTTTTCATCTCTAGGTCTATTATATTTGATTACGATTTACCCTTCATCTATTTGATTGATTTGCTTAAAAAGTGTTAAACAACTTTTGAGTCAAACAATTTGGCGCCGTCTGTAGGGATCTCGAGAATCAAAATCATAGTATCCACCTAGAGAGCAACCAACTACCATTCTCTACACCACACGAAAATAAAAGATGGCTGAAAATAACACCAGAATGAAAGCGATAGTGGGTGTTACAGCCAATCTCCTTGATCCTCTCAACGCGGCCGGTGACGAGGGCATTTTGAATGCAACCCCTAGCATCACGCCAGATGCAGAGATCTCATCTTCCCCATCCGAAGATCTGACGATCTTGCATGAAAAAGGAGCTTCCACATCCGCAGCTAAGGAAGCACCCTCGGTGGTCAAGAAGCTACTGGAAGAATGGCTAACAAACACTCTGAGTGGCTTGGTTGAGAAGTCACCGCAAAGTAACGACAGGTGTATACAAACGGTAGGTACCACTGCTGCCGTGGGTGAACCTGAAGCTGCACGAGCAAACAACAAACCCATCGAGGAACAGACCAACGACGGCACGCTAACAGCCATCCTAAAGAAGATGGAAGAAATGGAGAATGAAAACAAGGCACTCCGCGACCAAATGAAAGAACATCAGGAGAGGGTAGACAAGATCCCCGGTGCTCCCAAGTTGCTACCAAAACGCGACGTGGGGAGGTTCGTTGAACAACCATACACTGAAGAAGCTGCCCCTCACCCTATCCCAAAAACCTTCAAGATGCCACCCTACTTGAGGGTATATGACGGAACCACACATCCCGAGGATCATTTGATCCACTATGTCACTGCTGCAAAGGGCAACGACCTATCAAAAGAACAGGCACCATCGGTGCTGCTGAAGAAGTTTGGTGAGACGTTGACAAGAGGGGCCCTGACGCGGTACTCTCAGCTACCAGCTAAGGCGATATCAACGTTCGAGGAAATGGCGGATAAGTTCGTCACCGCCCATGCAGGGGCAAAGAAAGTGGAAGCAAGGGTCAACGACATCTTTGCCGTCAGGCAAACCACAGGGGAGGGACTCAGGGACTTCCTAGTCAGGTTTAATAGGGGAAGGATAAGTCTACCAAACGTATCGGAAGGTATGGCATTCGCCGCTTTCCAGAAGGGGCTAAACAGGGATGGTTCGAGGGCAACCAAGAAGCTACTAAGCCGCCTCATAAAATATCCCCTACCACATGGGAGGAAATCCACAACGCCTATTGCGCTGAGGTACGAGCATACGAGGATGATCTTAATGGGCCGACCCAACGGCTAACGACGATACACTCGAAAATAAGGAGGGATCGACGCAATGAAGGACGGCGAGAACAACTCCCCCGCTCCAACAAAGACCGACACCAGCCATACAGCAGATCCTCCCATCCACCACCAAGGCATACGGACGAGCTACAGCGACATGTCGCCCCACCCCGAAACGAAAGAGGTACGCCTCCTTTATTATCCGCCCACAACTTTTGTGTGTCTCCTTCAGAAAGAGTGTACGCACTGGAGAAGCTGGGCACCAAAGTGTAGTGGCCGCAGAAGATGAAATCAGACCCTGCCACGAGGAAATCAAACGTCCTATATGAGTTCCATCAGGAACGGGGACACAAAACCGAAGACTGCATAGGCCTACGGCACGAGGTGGTCAGGATGCTGAACCAGGGATGCCCGAGGGAACTACTCAGTGACAAAGGGAAAATCAACTTGGGACGCGGACGGGAACAACCCCACGGGCCACCGAAGCTGCCCTCCCCAGCGCGCACGATAAACATGATCGTCGGAGGCGGCGACGACTTAGCGATCAATCACGTCAAGTTCGCCACCACGCACAAACTAAAGCGGACCATCGCCCATGAACGGTATGACGATTTCGAAGATAGTATCACCTTCGATAAGTCTGATGCCGACGGTTTGTCTTTCCCTCATTACAATGCTTTAGTTATCACTTTACGTATCGCTGATACAGATGTTAAAAGAATCATGATTGACGACGGAAGCGGCGCCCGTATTATCCACCCGAGGGTCCTCGTACAAATGGGACTCGAGGGTAAGGTAATACCGCGTTGCATAACACTAACTGGTTTTAACAATGCAGTGGAACGGACATCCGGAGAAATATCACTGCCCGTTTTAGCAGGAGGAGTCACGCTGGAAACAACTTTCCACGTGATGAACCAGGAAACGGCGTACAACGTCATCATAGGGCGCCCGTGGATACACGCCATGCGAGCGATCCCTTCAAGCCTTTACCAAGTGATCAAATTCCCTACCCCATGGGGAGTATTCAACATTCAAGGCGAGCCGCGCACCGCACAGGAATGCTACAAAATAGCTCAAGATTGCGCCCATACCCAACAGCTAAAGGGGGCGAGCGCGGAGGCATAGCAATTAGCTGTGTCGGGGACTAAGGTCAACCTGACAACGGACGCCATTAGAGACCCCGACGTCGTGGAGGCCTGTAAAGCAACGGTCGAAGATCTCGACCCAATCCAATTGGACGACACCGACCTTATGAAGAAAGCCTACATCGGGCACGGCCTCGCTAACCCAAGTAAGTATCGTGAATTTCTAACTAACCATGCAGATTTGTTCGCTTTTTCCCATTCAGATATGCCAGGAATCCCGCGAGACATCGCCACCCACATGCTGAATGTCGATCCATTACACCCGCCCGTGCGACAGATGAGAAGGAAATTCAACGCCGCTATCAATGAAGCGGTCAGCGAGGAAGCAGACAAGTTACTGGCCAACGCCTCCATCAGAGAATCGAAGTACCCCCAGTGGGTCGCCAATGTCGTCATGGTCAAAAAGAAAAACGGGAAGTGGAGAATGTGTGTGGATTTCACCGATCTGAACAAAGCATGCCCAAAGGATTCATTCCCACTACCCCACATCGACCAGTTGATCGACGCCACCGCAGGACATGAACTGCTGAGCTTCTTAGATGCCTACTCGGCTACAATCAAATCATGATGGCCGAGGAGGACCAGGAGAAGACGACTTTCATCACCCACCAAGGGACTTACTGCTACAATGTAATGCCCTTCGGGCTCAAAAATGCAAGGGCTACATACCAAAGACTGGTCACCAAAATGTTCAAAGAGCAACTTGGTAAGACTATGGAAGTCTATATCGACGATATGCTGGTGAAGTCTACAAGAAAAGAGGACCACATCAACCATCTGAAAGAAGCCTTCGGGATATTGAGAAGGTACGGGATGAAACTGAACCCC